AATCTTTGCTATAAAATTTAACATTACAGATGTTAATTGTTCTCATACTTTAAACAGTTTGATTCCCGGGATAGTAAAAAGTCCTTAAAATTGCTCATCCATGCATATATTTTAGTAGACACAGAACTTTACATTAAAGAGCTGAGTCATCTATTACTTTTGCTAGAGTTTGCAGTTGTATGAGGGGTGAAGCCAGGTAGCTTTATTACATCTCCTTTCTCTTCACTTCCCCACAGAGAAAGGAAAAAGAAATGGGAAAAGTGAAAGTGAGAGATAGAAGGTGGAAGGTAGAGGTTAAGTTGGAAGCTTTGTATCAGGGAAGTACCTGTTCTCTCAGAAAGGAAGAAATGAAACTAAAACTGCTAAAAGATCAGCAACACTTTTTGGTGATTTTTGGCTAAACTTGCCTTTTACTGTATTTTAAAAATATAATGCTTCTTTTAGCTTGTAGAGCTTTTTCTAGAAAAATTTAACAGAATTTTTAATTGATTTTTACATGTAAAATATAAGTCCTTCTTTAAAGATATTTTTCTTTTTCTTAGACATTTAGAAGACTAATTTTCTTGAATCAACAGCTATATTATAAAGGACTGAATTTCAAGTTGTTAGATTTTTGAAATAGTATGGGCAGCTACTCTGATTATTTGGTCTCTATATCTCTCAGATGTAAATAATGGAAATCTCAAAGTAAACACACATTCAACTACATTTTCATAACTGAAAGAGAATATGGTTAGCATACCTTAAAGTTATGATATTAGTCTAGGCCACATGATACAATTCACTTAATCATCACAAAAGGATCACACAGTTAAATCAATCAGATTAGCATTCTCCATCAGCAAAATGAGGAAGAAAATAGTACAGAACTCATTGGAAATAGTACCAAAAAAGGCTCTTTTTGTATCTTTTATGCTTTTCTGTTCCAACTTCTGATAAGAATGAAAAGGTTATTATGCAGCTGTCAAAAATAAGCCTGAGAGGAATAAGACTGAGAGGAATTCTAGGCAATCTCACTTCCCATCAAGTGTTTTTTGATTCATATATTAAATTCTCTCTCTCCTTTTCTCATAGGTCTTGATTACTATGCCAGCTGTCTAGAGAACATACTATTAAATGCCAGTGTAGGAGCAGTGGTCCATTAACAACCTTAAAATTAACTCACTTTTTTCCCATTAACTACTTATTTTTTTTAAATCCCCTTTTAGATGGGGAAGTGGAAGTCATAGATTGAAACTCCCCTTTAGGGGTTTATGTAATTTACTTTAATCAGAGTATTTCTTAATAGCTCTCCCACCTACCCAACCCATAGAAACACACAAATCCCCATTATCTTCCAATTAGCTGCCAGCCATCATTCTCTAAAGGTCCATTCATAAATCACTGAAAATATTCAAGTATTCCCAGGCACATACAATTTAGTAAATACTAATAGAAGACAAAAATGGTTTAATGGACCAATTAGATTATAAACAAGGGATTTGGAAATGATGCAATAGCCTTTCTTTTTTTCCTGCTTCACAGTTTTCCTGTACACTAAATTCTGTGTTATCATCCTCATCAATACCAACAGCAAATGTTGGTAAAGGCAGAGAGAGAGAGACAAAGGGAGGGAGGGAAGAGAGAGAGAAGGAGAGAGACAGAGGAAACACTTGAATATTCACACAACTTTTTTAACACTGGTATTAAAATATATGGCCCTGGCAATGCTGAGAGCTTTTATATCCTTTCCATTACTCAACCTAGTGCAATCTGCTTGCCTCCACCTTGCAACACACATTGTTTTTTGAAAGAATCCCTTAAGCACCCAGTTCAATGGGTTCTCATTCTTTTTTTTTAAATTTTATTTTAATTTTCCTGCTTTATTAAGGTATAATTGGTGTAAACAAAGTGCACATAATTAATGTATATTTGGTGAGTTTGAACATATGAATACACTCATGTTACCATCACCACAATACAGATAATAAACATATCCATGACCTCCAAAAGTTTTCTTTTGTCCCTTTTTTTGTGTTAAGAACACAATATGATTTATCCTCTTAACAAGCTTTTAAAGTCTATAACCCCTTATTGCCAACTATAGGAACTAACAGTTATATTATAGTTGTGTAATTGTAACTTTATACTCATTGAACAACTCCTCATAACCCTGTCCCTCATCCTCTTTTACCATTATATTGTCTACTTACATACCTTTGACCATTTTAGATGCCTCATATGAGAGAAATTTCTATTCAACATCCAAAAGATGACCAAGATAATGACATTTCTTTCTTCTGAAATTTCTCTTTCCTTGATTTTAGTAATAACATGACATTCTCATTCTCCTATATCTGAATATTCTTTTGATGGCTCCCTTTTCACCTCTAGCTCCCAAATCTGGATATTTCTCAACACACAGCTCTTATACATCTTTCTTTCTTGTTTTCCATTTTCTCACTTAACTAAATATTCTATTTCTATGGCTAGACATTATTTTTTTTGGCCTCGATGTGGGTGGCTCCTATATTTCTTGTCATGTCTTAACTCCTCTTCTGAGTTTCAGACCCATATTATCCATGAGTCTCCTGAACAGCTCTACATGGATGTCCTGATGTCATCTAAAACTTAACACATGCAAAACTGAATTTATCTTTCCACACTTTATTATCCTTTTAATGCAGTGTCAATAAAAAAATCTTAAAATGATTTTGGGGGAGAGAGATTGGCAAAAGGTATGACTAAGCAATTCTAAAGTTAATCTAGAAGAATCTGTGCTACAAGAGCTAAGAAGAGTAATCAGAGCACTACCAGATATTTAGATATTTTATAAAGCCACAGTTATAAACAATCAGATCAATGTAACATAATATGAAATCCAAAATATATATGTATACATATATGTGTGTATGTATATAATACTCAATAAAAAGCTACAATTAAACTCACTGGAAAGAAATGCTGGATTATTTAACAAATATTGTAAAGGCAACTGGTCAACCATTTGGAAAAATAAAATTAGGTATTTTCCTCACACATCTTAAAGTAGAATAAATTCTAGGCAGAATAAATGCCAAGTTGTAAAAATGAAACCATAACAATATAAGAAGCAAATATAGGGGTATGTTAACACAATTGTGATACAATAAAGGACTTTGTAATCATGACACCGAAGTCAGAAATCATAAAGAAAAGGATTGATATATTTGGCAACAGAAATACTACAAGCAAAAGTTCTGACATCCATAATCAAATTTAAAAGGCAAAAATTAAACTGGAAAATATATTGTTAATATTCTGGTCAGTAAAATAAACAAAACGGGTCAGTGCAAGAATCTTTCTCTTTCTCTCAGATACAAAAAGACTATATATTGTATAATTCCTTTTATATGAAATATTCAGAAAATACAAGTTTATATTGTCAGAAAGTAGATATATGGTTGCCTGGGTTTGGATGTGGGAATGAGGGTTGATTACAAGCTCAAATAAATATTTTGAAGTGATGAAAATATTCTAAAGCTGTACTTTAGTGATGGTGATAATCCACAACTCTATAAAATTTACTAAAAATTATTGAATTCTACATTGACAGATGAATTTTATGATATGTAAATTAAACTCAATACAAGTGTTCATTGAAAAAGTACATGTTATTATTTTAATTCTCATTGCTCTCATGAGCAATGTTATAAAGATGATCCAGTCTATTTCCCTTAGTTTACAGATGTGGAACTAAAGCCCCATGAATTAAATGTTTTGCCTGAAGTCAAATAATCATCTAGTGGAAGATCTAGGACTTTCACCCAGGTTGCCTATTACCCTGGTGTTAATCATATTATACCATACCCTCTTTTATTACAAAACATTTATAATGTTCTAACCTAAATTGATTAGAATTTCAATAAAATAAAAAACAATCATACTTAATTATAATTATGGATTGTTACAATGACCAACATTTCTAAATGTGAGATATCATTATTGTGGTAGATAAGTGTTGTGATGACTCAGTGAGACTCTTTAGGGGGAGGCATTAAAAATAAAAAAGATAAGACAATGGGTGTTGGTGAGGATATAGAGGAAAGGGAACTCTTGTACACCATTGGTCAGAATGCAAATTGGTACAGCCATTTTGGAAAACAGTATGGGGTTCCTCAAAAACTTAAAGATAGAACTTCTTTGTAATCTGGTAATCCCTCTTCTGGATATATAAACAAAAGAAATAAAATTAGTACCTCAAAGAGATATTTGTGCTCCCACATTTCTTGCAGCATTACATAGAATAGCCAAAATATGGAAGCAACTTAAGTATCTGTTGACAGATAAATGGATAAAGAAATTGAGAAATATATATATATCTCCTATATATAGGAATATATAATATATGTAAAGAAATATATGTAAATATATAAAAACCTATATACATATATATAGGAATTTATTCAGTCTTAAATAAAGGAGATCCTGCCATTTGCAATGACATGGATGAACCTGGAAGACATTATGTTAGATGAAATTAGCCAAGCACAGAACTAAAAATACTGCATGATCTCACTTACATGTGGACTCTTAAAAAGTCAAATAGAAGCAGAGAACAGAATGATAGTTACCATGGTGGGGAGGTCAGGAAAATGGGGGAATTTAGTCAAAGGATACAAATTTGCAATTACATAGGATGGATAAGTCTAGAGATCTAATGTCCAGCATGATTATTACAGTTAACAATTCTATATAGCATACTAGCAATTTGCTAAGAGAGTAGATTTCAGGTGCTCTCATCATATACATAAATGGTAACTATGTGAGGAGATGGATATGTTAGTTAGTTTTACTGTAGTAATCATTTCATTATGTGTGTGTATATATATAAAAATACAATCAAAATAAATCAATTTCTTTTCAAATGTTTAAACAAATGTTTTGAAGACTTTAGATTTGAAATGCAATTAGCTGAAAAGCAAGTTAAAATCCATCAAATTTACAAAAGCTAGTATTAGAAAGTGCAGCATATGAAATACCTTGAGAGCTTCCTTCAGACAAACAGATGGATACTTCATCATTTCTTTCATTATCTTCTCCTACTTCAGGACCAGCTTCTTCTCTTGATGTGAGTGCAGACAAAGAACCAGACTCAGGCTGCTCAGAAAAATCAGCAGGGCCTCCTCTTGGAGGCGGAACTTCAATCCCCATTAAACGGTATTTCCTTCTTCGATTCCCAATCCAAGTCTTATAAGAGAAATACAAAAAGAATTTTTGAAACATAGAACTTTTAGCATTTCTGGCCATTAAAATAATAAATGGATGCTGCATAAAATATGATTAAAAATAAATAAGTACCTAAAATAATAAAATTTAATTATTAGTCAATATGCAAAAATTAAGATAATTATGCTTTTACTTTTAAATATATTATTAGCCAAAAGATGACATTTATCTAAATATTCAGACTTTAAAGCAACATGTAGTCCATCACAGAACACTTTTTTTAGACTCCTTTTTCTTTTTTGAAATTGCTCATTTTATTAATTTGATATAGTATAATGTGTCAAAATATCCAATACAATGTTGAATAAAGGACTAATAAAAATTTATAAGCAGACATTTATGCTTATAAAGCAAACATAATTCAAACAGGACAACCTTGAGAGGAAATGAAACAAAATATATTTAAATTTTTGGTAAATAATAATTAAATAACAATGTTAATTTTTTAAAAAGCATTTCTCTTGAATGATTATGTCTTTTTTAATTAGTTAAAAATACATAAATTTTTGTTTTTGGTTTTGTTTTTGTTTTTCTGTAGAAATAACCCACCAAATCTTTCAAACAAAACACAAATTGATTCTTTTCCTAAAGGGACCAGACATGTAACTAGAGATCTTATCCCATATCCAATCTTGCTTCCATGGTGAAAATGTAGCTTCTATTAACTTTCACTCTTTCATGGTTACTTGGGTATTTCAAGTATTCTAAAATTTCATTTCATTTGATTCAGAACCAATTTTTAAAATGTTTTATATTAAAATAGTTTTAGAGGCATAGAAGTTTCAAAGATAGATCTCCTTCACTCAGTTTTCTCCGACTTATGTTTTGCATAATTATATTGCAATAATTAAAACAAGAAATTGATATTGCACAGTATGTATGTACACTTCTATGTTCCTTTATCACACGATTCTTCTTCCTCTTTTATCTACCATTCCCAGCCCCTGGCAACCATTAATCTGTTTTCCACTTCTATAATTGTGTCATTTCAAAAATGTTATATAAATGAAGTCATAAAGCATGTGACTTTTTTGAAGTTGGCTTTTTTTACTCAGTATAATTTTCTGAAGATTTTTCAAGTGGCATGTATCAATTGTCCATTCCTTTTTATTGTTAAGTTGTATTCCATATTTATGTACTTTTTTCCCATTTATTTGCAGTGTTTGTCTAATCATTCATTCATCGAAGGGCACTTAGGTTGTTTTAATGTTGGAGGTCTTAAAGCTTCTATGAACCGTCAGTCATGAACAGGTTTTTGTGCAGATGTAAGTTTTCATTTCTCTAGAATAAAGGTTCAAGAATCCAAATGCTTGGATGTATGGTAATTATACATTTAGTTTTATAAAAAACTGTCAAATTGTTTCCAGAAAAATTGTACCATTTTACATTTTTACCAGCAATGTATGAAAAATCCAGTTTCCTGGCATTCTTGCCAGCATCTGGTATTCTCAATAATGAAAAAATTGGCTGTTCTCATTCATGCATGCAGTGATAGATCATTGAGTTCTTAATTTGATTTCCCAAAGGCTAGTTGTTGAAAATCTTTTCATGTGCTTATTTGCCATCCATATACTCTCTTCAGTGAAATGTTTCTTCATGCATTTTGCTCATTTTCTAATTGACTTTTTAAAAATGTTGAGTTTTAAGAATTCTTTATATATTCTAGATATGAGTTATTGTCAGATATGTGGTTTTTAAATATTTTCTCCCAGCCTGTAGCTTTTATTTTCCTCATCTGCGTCTTTTGCAAAAAAAAAAAAAAAAAGTTTTAATTTTTATGAAGTCTAAGCTATTGTTTCTTTTTTTTTATGGATTGTGCTTTTAGTGTCATTTCTAAAAATAATTCACCAAGCCCTAGGTCCTGAAGATTATCGCCGATCTTTTCTTCTAAACTTTTTTATAGTTTTTATTTTTTACATTTAAATCTATGATCCATTTTGAATTCATTTTTTATAAGGTATGAGATTTAGATCAAAGTTCATTTCTGTTCTCTATGGATATCAAAGAGTTCCAGAACCGTTTTTTGAAAAGACTTTCTCCATTGAATTGCTTTTGCATCTTTGTCAAAAATCAACTAAGCTGTCCATGCTTGTGCAGGGCTATTTCTGGGTTCTTTAATATTTCACTGATCTCTAGATGTATCTTCCTGTAAATTCCACATAGTCTTGATTACAGTAGCTACATAATAAGTCTTGAAATTAGGTAGGCGGATTTCTTCCACTTCATTCTTTTTTTTCCCTAGAATTATTTTAACTATACTAGCATATTTCCTTTCCATATAAATCTTAGCATTTTCTGGTCTACATCAACTAAAAATTTTATTGAGACTTTTATAAGAATTATGTTAAACCTTCATATTAATCTTGGAGGAATTTACATTTTTACTATGTTGAGTCTGCCAATCCATGAACACAAATGTCTTCCCATTTATTTAAAACTTCTTTATTTCATCAATGTTTTATAATTTTCAGCATAAAAGCCCTATACATGTTTTGTTAGTTTTGTTAGATTTACAGCAATTGATTTTTTCAGTGATTGAAAATAATATTATATATTTAATTTCAGTTTCAATATGTTAATTTTTACTGTATAAACACACAAGTGGTTTTTGTATGTTGATCTTGTATCGAGAGACCTTGTTAGATTCACTTATTGGTTATGAGACTATTTTTGTAGTTTCCTTAGGATTGCCAACACAGGCAATTGTATGTTACTTTTATTTCCTTTTCTTGTTTCATTGCATTAGCTAGAACTTCCAGTACAAATTGAATAAAGGTGGTCAAAGTGGACATCTTGTTTTGTTCTTGACCTCAGGGGGAAAGCATTCTATATTTCACCATTAGTTGATGCTAACTGTAGGTTTGGACACTTGTAGATTTCTTTTTTGGGGTCAATTTTTAAGGATGATTTCAATTTCTTTAATAGTTATTCAAATCATCTATTTCATATCAGGTGATTTGTGATATTTTGCACTTTTTCAGGAATTGATCCATCTCATCTAAATTGTCAAATTTGTCCACACAGAGTTGTTTGAAATAGTCTCTTTTATCCTTTTTCTGTCTGCAAAGTCTGTAGAAATATCCCCTCACTCATTCCTAATATTACTAATTTCTGTGTCTTGTTTCTTTTTTCTTTGTCATTCTTGCTAGATGTTTGTCAATTTCACTGATCTTTTCAATGTACTCACTTATTATTTTATTGATTTTCCAATTCGTATTTATTTTTACCTCCTGACCACCTTTACTCATTTCTCCATCTTCCAATTCCCCCTTGCCACTGCATCTGGCAAACACCAATCTGTTCTCTTTATCTATTAATTTTAAAAAACCACACACAGGGGCGCCTGGGTGGCTCAGATGGTTAAGTGTCTGCCTTTGGCTCAGGTCATGATCCCAGGGTCCTGGGATGGAGTCCCGTATCGGGCTCCTTGCTCAGCAGGGAGTCTGCTTCGCCCTCTCCCTCTGCCTCTCCCCCTGCTTGTTCTCTCTCTGTCTCTCTCGCAAATGAATAAATAAAATCTTTAAAAAAAAAAACCACACACACACACATACACACACAACAGAAAAGGTTTTGATCAGAGTTCCAAGATGGCAGTGTAGTAGGGGGACCCTGAATTTGCCTCATCCTTGGAATACAACTAGATCAACCTCCAACTATTTTGAACAATCAGGAAGAGGACCGGAGGAGTATGGAAACATTATGCACAGTTGGAGTGAGAGAATTTGGCAGAAGCGGGGTTCAGAGCTCTGAATTGGGGGATTAGGAAACTGCATGGCTGGGAAGGGGAGGAAGCTGGGTTCACAGAGCAAAGTCAGGAAGAGGGAGAAAGTTGGAAAGAGTACAGTGGTTTATGAACACACAATAAGCCATGGCGAGTGGATCCCTGAGGTATTCAGGGAGAGATTGATCCCCTTCTTAGAGGGCATTTGGAGGAGCATATTTGTCCTTTCCAAAGACAAAGGGACAGCAGAGGAGCCTTGAGAGAAGCTCAACAGCAGGGTCAGAGAGGAGCACAGAGGGGAGAAAACCTCTTAACTTTTCAGTGTGAACCCCAATAGGCTTAAACCTCTGTGCATGTGCCAAAGAACTGCTGTTCTGGGACTGACTGAGCAGAGCACAGAGACTGGAGCAGAACATGGATAACCTGCCTGCCATTTTTGCTGTATGCCACAATAGATTCAAGCTTCTGCAGTGGCTTTTCTGGGACAAAGGGGAGTAGGGGATGGAGTCAAGTGCAGATGGCTGATAACCTGGCTCCAGCTTTCTGCTGAGTGTTACAATAAACTCTAGCCTCTGCACACACACTGGGTGATAGCTTTTCAGGGACAGGATGGTTCTGGGCATGCCCTGAGCCTCCCCTCCCGGGGATAAGAGTAGGCACACACATCAACAGGCCCTTTAAAACTTTAAGATTTGAATCCCAGCCACTGGCCAGAGATAAAATACAGGAGATGTGTGGCTTTGGGTGTACCAATGACTCAGACACAGACAGGTTAGGGCAGGGAACTGAGGAGGTCCTGGGTCACAGGAGATTGCTTGCTTTTCTAAGAGGGCCTCCTGAGCAGCAGCTGCCAGGAACTCTGTTCCCCAGGGACAAGAGGATGAGGTGAGGCCACAGTCTACCTCCTATACAACCCTTCCCTCCTCCTGCCCACCAGCACAAACTCCAGAGAGAAACACAGTACCCCTAGTGAAGGCCACAGTCTCCTACACTAAACCCTGGTCCCCTGACCTGGCAGGAGCATTTTTAGGAGGGCAAGTCAGATTGTGAGCCAGAACAGCAGGCCTCTCCCTCAGAAGACCAACAAAACCCCCTGAATCTACCAAGTCTACTAATTAAAGGAAGCTCCAAAACCTCAGCTTCCAGCTTAACTTCACAAACAAATCAAAACATAACTACTTAAAGGACCAAACACTCCCCACTACAAGCCAGTAGGAACTCTGTAGAGGGAGGACCAGTA